ATCAGTGGAATACCCAAACTGTAAGCCAATAGAGTAGATAGAATTCCGAGCCACTGTAATCAACAAGAAGAAGGTAAGCAACATCGAAATGGACAACCTTCTCCTCAACCTTAAAAAGTCAGAAAGACTGCATCCCGGGCTTGGAATGACAGGATCCTGTATGCCATACCCAACCTGAGGAAACAGAACTCATTTGGTTTTGAATTACAAACACCCATCTTCACTCCCCAACCAAGTGGGCAAGGTAAATTTTTCTTGTCTTCTGAATTATGAAGAGGATGTGGAACAAATTGTGCTCAACCAAGGATCCGGGATGGAACCATTCTGCGTTCGGAATTATGAGGAGAATGAACCCTATTCCATGAACAATGTACTTAACCCAGTGTTGATCAAAAAGAAGGACCACACTCAACCCAACTGGATAGCTGAGCATCACATTTGAACCAGTGTTACGAGTAGGCTCCTGCCTCTCCTAATTACATCTGGGAAAAAACATCCAGGTACCTGGGTAGGTGGGTCCTCAACTACACCCTTATCTCCAAGAGTGGAAGAAATTCACTCTAACACTCTGGAGGAAAAGCCTCTGTCCACCACCTCAGTGACTGAAAACCCAGTGTGGCAAGGACTCCCTAGCTCCACTAGTAGAATCTGGAAGATAATGCTTATTGAGTAGTCCTAAGGAAGAAAGAATACTGTGAAACAGTGCAATAGATAAACCAAGCTTCCTAAATTTTTAAAAGCAAACTGACCCTGATTTATTCCATCCAATAATTGGCAGGGACAGACAGGATTCTCTTATGTTTTACTCATGTTAGTCCATGAGTGGTGGTCCAGCATAGTACATTAATACCACCTGGTCAGACTCTAGGTGGTCATAAGGAACACCTCATTTCTACAGAGCCTGTTGCAACCTAGATAAAGTATATTGAATTTGTGGTTGTTTATGTGGAATTAGTTTGATAAAAGCACACTTGCTTAGGCAACACTCACCACAGAGTGGGATCCTGTGAAAACGAAATAAGGGACCCTGAAAGGTAAAGACAAGACTAGTGTAGCAATGATGAAAATACTCACCCCTCTGTATAATCTAGCAGAAGTGGTTAAGATAGCTACAGGGGGTAATCGAAAACCCTTGGATGAAGATACTGTCAGATCATGCAAATAAAGCATTATAAAAGTATTGGGTGAGGTCCCACATACCAGCCTGTACAATGTCCTCCAGTAGGCAAACCAACTGGGCCACTAAGGACATAGAAATGTGATGAATCTGATTAGATGTGACTCGCAGAAGTCTCCTCATCTTCAAAGAGAGCCCAGAATAAGTGATATGGATCAATTTTATACTCACCTCATCAATGTAATCAGGGATAAATCCTGGGAAGCTGAATGAACCCATTGAACAAAAAGTCATTATCTAGCATCTCTAAAGGCATTAGTGTGGGCAACAAAACCTGTAAGACCCTCATTGGAATAACAAATGATCGAGATCTGATCGGTCATAAAAGTGAAAAATATTGATCAGATGAACAGGTAAAAAGGGATTAGCCCCTTCCCTGGCTGCCAGTGTCTTAGGGAAGAAGAACCAGTTTGAGGACATAGGTAGAATGATAAAGTGTCCTGTGCACAATCATTGATGTTCAAGGAAAGGTGATACATGGCACATGAGGCTAAGGTCTAAAATGGGTGTTTGGAAAGGGCATGTAATGCCACCTCAATATACCAGTCAGGTGACTAAAATGGTCGTTTTGGACAAAGGACCCAAAACGACATGAGGAAGCTGGGGAGTACTGGGGACTCAAGGATTTTTTTGTGTCAAGTATCAAAAGCTAAGGCTGCCTTATACAGGGTGATTGTGGAGATGCATAACCCTTGCCAAAGACCCAGGTTAAAAATGAGTTAGGGTTGGCACTTCTGTTCGATTGCTGATAAACGTCCATCACGAGAATAAGCAAAGACTGAGACAGATACATGGCAACCTTAGAACCCTGATACCGTGTGAAGGATTGCATAACCTCTATGCCTGAATCTTGAGCTTCTAAATAGCTGAATGTACCATGTCAGATCATGGCTGCCTCCACAGAGAATGGCCAAAGAGTAAGTGGAAGAGGTGGGCACTCCTGAAGGTACTGCAGAAGCAGAAACCAGAGTGTAGCTGCCAAATCTGGTGCTATCAACAGGACCTGACAATGGGTTTAAACAAATCATATTTACCACCTTGGATAACATACAAATTAGAGTGAAGGCTTATGGTTGTAATCCCATCCAGTCCTGACAGAATACATCCATTGCCAAAGACCGAGGGTAAGGTATTGGAGACCAAATTGCCAATAGTTGGGTGTTCCAAAGAGTGGTCAATCCATCAATCATTAGTGTTTCAAAATGAGAGCCAATCCAACAGAAAAACCTTGCAATGCAGCATCTATTCTGCTGGGAGAACCTGTTTGGGTTGAGACAATTGATCTGGCACTGATGTCATCACCCGTGGAACATAGCAAGCTAGTAGGGGTAATATGATAGGAGTATTCCCAAGAAAAGAGATCCAAGGTTCAAAAACAAATAGTCCTGGAACTAGTGCCCCCTGGGCAATGTGTGGATAGGAGCTGATCGAACTTCAACATCCATAATACTAGTAAAAAATACCAACTCAGAGTGAGGAATGAGTCACTTGTGAACCTTGGAGAATCTAGGAATTGATATAGACAAGAAAGATAGATGACTGGATGCCAGTTTCCTGTCTTCTTGGACCCAACAAACTAACAGGAATAAAACCACAGAAGAACTGGTATGACTCTCTCTCTCTCTCTACTCCCAGATCAACCAAACTCTGATAGCCCTAGAACTAAGTTCCGAAATCTGAGGATCTGCAGGAGGCAGAAACACTACAGGTTGGGTGGATAATGGTGGTGAAGATGTGAACTCAATGACTACTCCTGGCTCAAGGACCTGTAGAACCCATGGATCTGTTGTTAAGGTTAACCACATATCCAGAAATTCTCGAAGCTGAGCCCTCACAGACATACAATAGTCACTGAAGCCACTGGTGGCATTCTGATCAAGCAGCAAAAGCCTTGGATATAACCAGAATCTATTCTGGGTACCAATGGACCGAGAGACTAATGTCAGGTTCAGGACTCTTGAATAGGGGCAGAACAATGATCCCATGTAGTAGCTGAGGAAAGTTGAGACACCACCAGCAATATGGATAAACATAGAAACTGACAATCAAATCAATGTGCATGCTAATAATGGTCCCAGCTCATCATCAATGGACTTGGTGATCCTGAGTGCCTTCCAACAAAGTTTAAAGGAATAATAAATACCTCGGCACATATATAGGGTGAGGCGATCTTATAAAATTGTGATCTATTCAGGTTAACTTCAGACTCTGCTCTATAACTCCAAATTTCCAGGAGCAGATGTATTCTTTGAGAGATGGAATATGCTTTCATCTGGTGGTGGTAGGCTAAATCACATAGTTCCAACAACCGTGGTAGACAAGGCATAGCTGTTCCTTCACGTAACTGAGCAATAAACCTCCCTATATGAACCACACTGTTAGTGGATGGAGAGAAAACTAAGTATTTCCTCCCAGACCTTTCAGACATCAAGTAAGTTGCGGGATCAAAACCAACTAAGAAAGACCCAAAACATCACACATTCAATGGACCAACTGAAGAAAAGGAGCCTGAGACATCTTATCCAAAGTGGCCTCTTGAGAAGTTAACAGCATAAAAGAAGGTGCAGGAAAAGCAAATCTAAATTCTCTCCGGAATGTCCAGGATTGCTCTCAACTGCAGCTTCAGTCTCTCTTGGAGGAACACTACTGAACCGAATATACGTCTCCATCTCACTACAAATAAGATCACTGACTGCTCCCCCCTCCCTGATTGTTGAGCAACACTAGATATCAGAGGTGGGATATGAGAGACCTGACTTGCTTCCATTCTAGAAATAACAATCTGGGAATTCATGGCATATATAAATATACATATTTTTTTTTATTTTTTTTACGAAATACAGAG